GATGTGGAAAGCAAAGAGAGAACATTATTAAAGGAGAGTGCTAGAAAACAAACGCCATTTTCCACCGCCACTATTTTCATCGGAATTATCCCAGAATCCATCAGGGACTTGTGTAAATTCCAGAGGTTGTTGGGTAATGCATTCAGTGTTCTCCATGCTTTGACTAGCTTGGCTCAACTGATCCCAAATAAACTCTGGCTGCGTCCCAACTAGAATCAGTCACTCGATCTAGCGCGTTCCTGAGCTGCCTGAAAATGTGGACATTCATTAACTTTTTGGTTTTTGGAGAGGACAATGAGGGTCATCCCTGTCATAAATACCGGCCAGTTGAAAAGCTTATAAATCAGCTTGAGTGGTGTTGACTTGGTGGTCAGTGGTCCATTTGATTTAAGCATCTACAGAACTCATGACTCACTTGTGCTTTAAAAAGATACACATTCAGATGGAATCGTAACCCCTGCATGAAATCATTGTGGCTATAAAAACACCCCATAACAGAGACTATAACCAGAGCTCTGTATGAGCAAACAAGAAGGAATCTGTATGATATTCAAAAACACAATACCACAAACAAAAGACTGGCACATTGACCACTGTTTGATCTTCTGCCATTAATCCCCACAGTCGTCGTAAAGACACAACAGAGAACAATGCAAAGGATTTCCTGTTAAATCACCCTTTTCGTTTCATGGGTCAACAACGCCAATATCCGATTCCCCGGGAATTTCATGAGCTGGTGGTCAAAACGGTTTGTTTGACAGCGTGTTCGGCCTGATGAGCACTTTGAGCTGATTGATGAAGACTTTCACTGATATGAACCATCTGGTTAACTTAACCAAGAAGAGCATTAATCATTGTAAAATTGCGTAATATTTCTGCCTAAGTCATGAAATTAAATGCACTGGAATCCCAAAGGGCAGATGCTCTGAGAGTGATTCGCATCAATTACTTCCTTGTGTCTATTGAATATTAAAGGGAAGTACAAACTCTTCATAAAATGTTTGTTGGAAATAAATCACGCTTAAATATTTTTGCAATTAAGTAGCAGAAGTCTCTTACGTCTTCAGGCTGTGCATGTGTTGCCGTTAAATGAGATTTGTTCCATATTTCATAAGTGTTAATCTAGAAGACAGAGTTCACGCTCATAAAAAATTGTTTAGATAAACTGTTCCTGATGAAATATGAACACTGGCAAAGTCTAAATCAATTAAAATGGATGGATTTAAAAAATCCAAACAAAAACAATTGCAAACAACCTTGTATGAGAACACATCATTTTTTCTAACAAATGATGTGAGTTTAATTAAGACAATTAGCAAGAAACGTCAACCAAATTTTTTAATCTGTGCTACATTTTTCTCTTCACCACTGTGCTCTGACCATTATAGAGACTTGTTGAATAAATCATGAATAAAAGTAATATAATTAAAAAAAAAAAAGTTTATATGACTAACAGTTCTGACTTTCTGAGAATTATGAGTTTATATCAAGCAAGATATAAGCTATATTGCCATTCTGACTTTTTTCCTCATAATTCTGAGTTTACTTACATTTTACAATTCTGTTTTTCCCCAACCAAGGATTAAAAAAAAAGGTAATTGCGACTTTTTCCATCTAATAATTTTGACTTTTTTTTTCTCGCAATTGTGTTAACATCTTGCATATTCAGTTTTCTTCTTAGAATTGCGAATTCATTTCACAATTCTGAGATTACATCTTCCAATTCTGAGAAGTCAGAACTGTAAAATATGAACTCAGAACGGCAAGAACTGAGATTAAATGTCGCAAATAACATTTTTTTCTGTGCTAGAAACAAGTTTCCATAGATAGCAGCTTGTCTACATGCCTGTGGACTCACAAAACTGATGAACAGAATAAAAATAACTCAAATATCCCCATGTGTATTCAAGAGAACAAACAACAAGTCCATTAGAAATACAAAAGAAACAGGACACTGACAGATTCTTCAACTTCAATTGTCTTATCCTCAATACAGTCCTCTGACAAAAAAGAAGAAAAAAAAACACATTTCCTTGCCACATGGTCATAAATATTTAAAGCAAAAAAAAAAAAAAAAAAAAATTAGTAGACATCCCGTTTTGTGAAGGACAATGTAGCACAATTATGGATTCCTGTAGTTCAACTCCTGGTTAAACCAAAGAGTATGGGATGGGGCTACTGTACCTGTTTGTCCAAACAATGGAATTAGATGTGGTAGAAGTGTTTTTGAAAACCTTTGTCCTTCAGATTTCAGCCCCAAATCTCATAGTACTTCAACAATCAGACCTGGAGCTGTTCAGTGGTAGGTAACCAGTACCCTTGTGAAGCCATGCTACAGGTTTTAGCTTACCGTGCATATGCCAGACACATCTGCATTTGCTCAAGAGAGCTTTTAGACATGTCTGGGTTGAAAAACCCAATATGATCTTGTTTCTTTTAATGGACACTTCTGGAAATAAACTCCCTCGACACCAGTGGACATTAAAGATGAACTAGAGGGCCGAGAAAGACATGCGACTGGCCTCTAGAGGCTTCCCAGTTTGTATAAAGGTTCAGCCGATAATTAAAAAGATTTCTTCTGGCGACGAACAAGTGCTTGTGGTCAGATGAACTTTATGTTTAAGTTCATGGCTGGTTTTCAGCCCTAGAGGAGTTAGTGAGTAGAAAGAAAACGAGAGGTTTATATGATATGGCCTTTGTCTGTTTGGTTCCCTTTGCCTTTTGGCCTGGAATGCTTCAAGAGTGTAGAAACAGGCCTGAAACCACCAGAAATATTTGGAAGAACAACCAAGAACCAAGTTCTCCAGAAACACCTTCAGTATGTTCTGGAAAGGCCCGTTCTGATTCATTTTGATCTGGCTTCACAATGTTGTCCCTGATCCCAGTCCTGAGAAAAAATACGTCTATTAATCCAAGACTAGAGTACTAACTCACGTTGTATGCTGCAGTTAATTTAAAACTAAGACCTATAAATTCTATGGCACAATATCAACAACTGCACACCAGACTTTCAGAATACACTGCTTTTCTTCGTAAAACGGTTTCCTCCCAATAAAACTTACCATTAATTAATCTTTGGTCCACATTTTAGCAACATGAAAGCATTCAGATCAGAGCTGTCAATTTATTCCTTTTGTGTGATTACTTATATAAATGGTGTTTAAAAGAATTTTGTGTGAATAATTATACAAATAAATGTTACAATAAAAAAATTAAATTATATATAAAAAATAAAATTATGAAATTAAATAAAACAAAAATAAAAATGTGAAAAACTGTGGAATATTTTCATAAAACATGCAGTTTAATTTGATTTGATTTAATTTGAAAAGCAAATAATGTAGTTTAATTTAAAATTAACTGACAGCCCTTATTCAGATACAAATGTTATCCATTAGCCACATACATATTAGTACAACATAGCGCCAAAATACTTTTACACACATGCATAGATATTTTCTGAGACAAAGCCCATAAGAACTCAAAAAATGAACACTCAATGATGGACAAAACATTTTAGCGCCACATCCTTGGCCAGTTTTTGCAACTATCCAACTCCAGGATGGATCACAACCAAAGAAAATGTCACACTGCAATGCATGAACGTTCTCCTCTGTTTGAGATTATGATCTATTCAAGAGACAAACCCTGGCTTGCAGGCATGTTTCTAACACAAGAACAGATGCGCAGAAGATCAGATCAGATCAGAAGCATCAACTGAACAAATATTTCCTCACATCATGAGTTTAAGAGCCGCCAAGCCACAAAGAAAAGAGGTGTGGTGGCTTAACTGCACCTGTTAATTTACAATGAGCTCATATAAAAACTGCTTGAGTCATTTTAGTCATCTGCATATGAGCAAATGTTAATAGCAAGCCTGCTCACATGAGACCCATTGTGCAAATACTCTCCATGCATGCTTGAGAGACTCAGGGACTCCACAGGTCACCAGTGTTGGTGCACCACACACGCCAAGAATTTACAAGGACAAGCTTATTGACAATTTTGGCAAGCGTTTCAAATCATCGCACATCAATGCCTGCTGAAATAAAAAGCCTGTAGTAGTTTGTGCTTTAACTTACTACTTCCAGCATGCAGGTGGAATGAAATGCACCACCATAGAAGAGAAAGGGTGACAACTAAGAAGTGATGCAAGAGAGAAAATAAAATCTCTTCATATACAATTTCTATTGCTTGATTTTTATTCTAGATAATGAATAATTCATAATAATTCATTCCTAAAATGAAAATTGTCTTCCATGGACCAAATGTTGAAGAATAAAAGTATTCCATTGACTTGACTTGATTTGGAGGACAAATTATATGGGCCAAGTTTATGGTGCTTTCTGTCTTTTGGAGCTCAGCAACCCGTATCCTTGTTAACTTGGATGGCATTCATAAAAACTTTTGTGTTGAACATAGGAAAGTCAGTTGGTTTTGAGAGTAAGTCAAGTTACCACTGTAAAGCTGAGGAGTCTGGGTCTGCTTTGCATCCGGAGCCGGCTTAAAGTTCCAGCATCATAATCCCTAACCTTCAAAGAATAATATCTCCTTGCTTTCTTTCACTAATTCTAAACGGTCACAGGAATGAAAACAGGATTATTTTACATGCCCCACACAAGACACCAACACAGCTAACCCAATGAAAGGAAACCCTGGCCACTTTGGGAACAGAAACAGTACAGGTCACTCTTGAGGAAACACTTAATAAGCAAGTGATAATCTGGCATATTTAAAAGTCTCTTTTAATCTCCCCCCCTTTAGAAAAACTAAAGGCAAAACAGATTTCATCGCATAAAAATGTAAAATAAACAACCATGATAGACAGACAGATAGACAGACAAACAGGACACTTTATTTATCCCATATGGGAAGTGGTGACGTCCAATTGAATAAATACAAAACGGGTACATTACATACATTACAAAAGACAATATATAAACATTACCATACACAAGAACCTACAGAATGTTAAGATGGAGAAGTAAACAGTCTCTTACCTGTAGCATGTAGTCACCTCTCCTGTGGATTTTACGCACGGGTATTTCGTCGTTGCGATTTTGTTCTCTGAACACACATCTCTGTAAGACAAAGGAGCCGTCAGCGGTTTCTTTCTACGTAAACAAATCTGCCTCACGCACAAGAAACTAACTTTCAGTCCTCTTGAGTTCGTGTAAACAGCGAGCTGACAGCGCGCGCACTGCAGGGACACTTTACCTGTCCACATCCTCCTTCTCTCGGAAAGTCCACGGCGTTCCCGATGAGAACAGCATTACAACCACAGCAAGTCTGAGAGGAGTTCCTCTGCCCGTGTAGCTCATTTCAGACACTCTGAGATGCTAAAAAAAGATATTGTCCGTTTAAAGCTAGCGTCTTGAAGTTCAGCGTTACTTTGAGGAATTGAGAGAGTATTGATTGGTTACCTCCTGCGAAGCCCCACGCGCAGATTCCCACCGGCCCCTCCTACTCCCGCACTTGCTCAACTTCAATAGGTTCAGGAACGCAAGTTATGAATTTAATATTTAATAACTGCCACAGGTAACATTGAAGATATTCCTGTGGCGAAATCCTTATGTGTGAGGTTTGAGTTAAATATTATATTATAATAGGCTACGTAAAAAAAAAAAAAAATAATAATAAAAAAAAAAATGGACCATTTGATACCACATTTATTTGTTTGTTTGTTATTATTATATATTTAACTGTTCAAGGACACAGCTATGTGTGCTGAAAAAAATGGTGTAGAAATCATTTTCAATCAGAAATTGCAAAAAAAAAATTACAAAGAAACAGCAAGTAACACATTGAATTAAAGGTGAAATTTTCATGTAGAAAAACTGAAATATTATATTATAATAGGCTACGTAAAAAAACTTTTATACCATATTCGTTTATTTAATTATTTATTCATTCATTCATTTTTGTTATTAGTATATATTTAACTATTTAAGGACATAGCTAAAATGTATGATAATATGTGTGCTGAAAAAATGGTGTAGAAATAATTTTCAATCAGAAATTGCACAAGAAAATGACAAAGAAACAGCAAGTAACACATTGAATTGAAGGTGAAATTTTCATGTAGAAAAACTGAAATTGTATTTTCTTGTAAAACGTACTCCAATAGTCTTTCTTTTATTTACAGCTTCAATTTTTTCAACATTGTACATTTATTTATTTATTGAGTAACTGAACTAATTTTATTTTAACTACTTAAGGACACAGCTGGAGTCATAAATGTGTGCTGATATGTTAAACGAACATGTGTCTCTCAATTAATTAGATAATAAAAATTGCAAGTATAATATTTAGTATAGAATAATTAGAAAAAAGGCTAACAGATAGGCCAGGTAGTTGACATTTAACCTCCCCATGTTTAGTTCTTAAAAAAATTCTGTACATTGGCAGCTCCAAATGTAATGCTATTTAATTTTATTTTTTTTTATCTGTGAAATAATGAATCTAGAAAATTGTGAAAATATGAAATTATAAAATAAATGTATGCCCTGTCATGACAATGACATAATTTAAAGCTCTCACACTGATTGCCCTCTAAGGTTAAACTAGGCAAATGAGACTGTGTTGGCTAACTGATTCCCTCACAACAGGGATTGTTTGCACCAATTCTTCATCCCTGACCTCTGACTGCTATGTAAGCTGTTAAGGGACCCAAATGTCCCACAAGGTCAGGGGACTGTTGTCACAAAAAGAATTAAGCTAATGCTACATGTATTGAATTTTGTAGTTATTTCTATGCTAGTTCTATTAATACCCTTGTGATTGATAGAACTATTTTAGTTGTGGCCACTGATGAACTGAGACTAACTGAAAGTTTTTCCCCCTAGTGGCTGACAAAGCAGCAGCTGTTTCTTGTTTGTAGTCTCCATTCCCAACCATCTGATGAGCAATAAATGAAGACGCTCCTGCCAGCAAACCTTCCTGATGACTAATCTCACATCTCATGAGATTGAGAATCATCTCTCATGAATAAACAACTCTAAACATATCAGACGGTGTCGACCTCAAGTGCTTGGAAGCCCAGATAAATGATCTGCCTCCAAAAGGATGTGTTTCCATGGAGCTGTCTGCATGATGCTGCTGATGAATCTTGGCTGAGATTAGTTTTCGTGCCTTGCTTTTTTGTAGTGATAAACCCTGCTTGTCTTTTTCCTTCAACACTTTCATTGCAATCCAAGCTTCAGATTTCAGACACAAGGTTGATGTCATCAGAGCCAATGTCTAGACTTTATGGAGACTTTAAGCTAAGTATCAAAAGTTCACTCATTGTTTTTTTCCTCTTAAAAAAAAGAATGTGAATAAATTATTCTAATCTAATTTTTAGATCAAAATTATCCCTATTAGTTGCAAAAAAACCTGTCCTTAACCATGATTTCTTATCACAGCATGATTGCGGATATTACATTTTAAATTTCACTGACCCGACATTTGTTTTCAAATTCTGTCCAGCTGTTTTTATGATATTTTTGTCTCAGTGGTTGCATAATTCATGCTGTGCTATTCAAACACCCAAACACCGGACAAAACAAGTAAACAGAGCAAATGAATTGTTTTCAGACAGAGAACACCTGCTTTTTTAAGAATATTACTCCTAATCAAACAGATATGAGCTATTTGTTGTTTTTAGTGTTTAACTAAGCATTTTATTCAGTGTAACAGGACTGCATTAGTGATAAGATAACAATTTACCAATTCCTGTGCTTCGTAAGGCTAGTCTCATTTACATAAAAATGAAGAACTGTTTTGACACAGTGTTATGAGTCAGCCGAATTCGAAATGATACAAATATGTGCTAATGAGAACGAGCATGCTTGCAAGTTTTGTTTTTAATTAAGGCATAAGAAATAGGTCAAATTGAACAGTGTAAAAACTGGAAAATGTGCACAGCCTTTAAAAGCCTTACAAATATTTTAATGTCACATGCAAATATTTGCAGCTGGGGCGAAACAGGTCTGTTTTTTTTTGTTGTATGTGGGTGTGTAATGGGTTTAAAGTAGAGTTCCAAGGAAAAATTATTTGATTCATTGTACAGTAACTAATGTTTTGAGTCAAAAGTCAATTACACAAATGTGTTTCCTCAAGCAGAGGTTTTGTACACTTGCATTGGTTTTTTTTTTTTAAAGAAATTAATATTTTTATTCAGCAAGAATGCATTAAATTGATACAAAGTGACTGTAAAGACTTCTACATTGTTACAATATATTTCAAATAATAATAATATTTCAAAGTATTATAGTTCCCTTTCATGGGAACTTCGAACTGCGTCCTCTAGGGGGCGCTATGGGGAACACCTCGTCGTGACCCGTGTCTGAAGCATACATTGAAAAAACACCAACTCGTTGGCCGGCGACAGCCATGACGTCACTACCGGTGCGACTAAAGTATAAATAGGCGCCGGGAGCATCACATCATTCTCTTCTTCGTCTTCATTGACTGTTTTGTTTGAAGCGTGCATTTCCAAGGAAAAAGTAAGAGCTATCTCTATTTATTATGACGAGCACTAGCAGAGCATTTAGAAGGTGTGTGCATCCGTGTCATCGCTATTTGACATCAGATGACACACACGATCTATGTGTTGTTTGTTTGGGCAAAGAGCACGCACGCGATGCCTCCGAGGGGGCAATCGGCATGCACTGCGAGCGTTTTTTCCAAGGGGAAAAAGCTCCGCTTTTTTCCTCACGCATCCATCGACTCCAGCATACGAGTTATGCCAACATCGAGGCGATGTGCGAAAGCAGCTATGAGAAGATGCCCCTATAGAGAGACGCTGGCCAGCTATCTCTCTATGGGTGAGACGTCCTCTAAGACCTGTAATACGACCCCAACATTTTCGAACGGTAGTGTTTCAAACATATAAATAAAAATTTTTGTAACCTAAGTCGTGAAAAGGCAGTTTATATTTTAACAATATCACAGAAAAGTTAAGTTACTTCTGAGCAAAGCTTCTGCAATATTTACTTTTGATATTTTGTATCTAATGTATTGAACTCAGATATTAAGTGTGATATAAATATCCAAATACTTGTTTGGAGCCAGATATTTACATGAATCTAAAATGATCGCTTTTTCCTAAACCTGTTTATATGAATGATTGGGTTTAAGACCTGTGCCATTTGTCTTTACGCAAAGTGAGAATCATCTGTGTTTTGACATGATGGTACAGCTCCTTGTGATAATGACATTTACATGTGTGTATTTGGTGCGTGAGAACAGGAAGAATTTACCATGCTGACCTCTGGGTCACCCAAATCAATGGACCATAATCAAGGTCATCCGGGGCACTGCTGTTATTTTTTCTCCTTCCCGTTCTCTCTTCAGCTGATAGTTGACACATGAAGAATAGCTCTGGATTTTGAATCTGGGTCAAAATGTCTGAGAACAGAAAATGAAGTTGTGGTATTTACTACCGCTCTAGGCTACATCAACAACACAATCTGCATCCAGGAGGAAACCTACGATTTATATTTAGCACACACACACACACACACACACACACACACATGTTGTGTTTCCATGTTTTATGGGGACATTGATGAAAATCTTGATATTTGCAGTCTGGCGGATTTTCTACCTCACATTACCTGCCTGCCTGGACACTAAATCTGTGAACCAAGATTAACTCTCACTGTCGCTACAGCAAGTCATTTTGGATTAAAATGCTCATCCTGTCATACATGTGCAACTTATCATCTGAGATCAGTTTTATTATTACCTCTTATTGTTGTTAATGCTCGTATAAGGGCAGAAGGCATCTCTGAAAAGCTCTGACCCAGAAGAACGCGACAGAATCTGCAGTTGTAGTACCGCAGTTGACCGCTAGATGACTCTTCAACTCCAGGGTAGCGCTGCACACCTCCGTCATTGTAAACAAAATGGATGACCAGTGTTATAAATACCGGGGTGCGTCACGACTAGGGAGGGTGCCTGCTGTGCCATTTAAGTTTCTGCAGTTTTGATGGCTCAGCAGAGAGGAGGAAAAGGGATGATAGATAAATAGATAGAGAGAGCAGGGTCATTCCAGGTCCAAACATCCCTCACACAGCCGGTCTTAAGAAGCGAAGCATTTTACTGGGGTAGAAGTAAAATGTTTCATGCAAGTCATTTCTTGTTGTGTTGTTGTACAATGTCAATGTGTGTGTGAATGTGAATAACTTTAAATAAGTTGTGCAACTGCAAATGTCTCAACGCTTGGGTGTTCTGTTTTCACGAAACACAAAGTATGCAGTAGGCCTGTTTTTAAATATGCCACTTTATTGCAGTAGTTTAATTTAAAGAGCACATTTGTGGGACTAACGTGAATGAGACTTTATTTTATACAAATAAAGAAGAGGAATTTATGATTTATTGTTGTCAGATTTTAGTTGACTGTTAAAAATATGAGATTTCTGTGGAAGCCCACTGAGCTGAAAAACAAAAACAAAAAAACAGGAAAAC